AGAGGACTAAGAAAGTGGTAGGGTACAAAAACCTGCACCTATTGAAGAAGTCCTGGTTCCAGCACTGAGAGAGAGAAGTGGACATCGACACCCACCTCTAACCAAGAGGCTACCTGCAAATGATACCCACTGGCAAAAGAAAAATCAGTTTTCTCCAGTGGAGTCTCAGTGGGTGTATAATGCACACTTCAGGGCAGCCCCATGCCCAGGAGTAGTTAGACAACATCAAACAATCTCAATGGTATTTTGTGGGCTTTTTTCTCCTTTTGCTTTGTGTGGGCATATTTGGTTTTATTGGTCGTTTACTTGTTTATTTTGATGTCTGTTTTGGTGAGGTGGTGTGAGTGTGTGGGGTGAATGTGGGATAGAGAGAGAGAGAGAATTGATTTTATATTTGTTTGTTTTAGAGAGGGGGGTAACAAAAAGTTGGGTGGGTAGGGAGGTCGGAAGGATCTGGTAAGAGTTCAGGCCAGAGAAAAACGTAGTCAAAATATATTGTATGAAAAAAGTTTTTAAAATAAAAAAATAGTCTTGGCAGAAGCACCCACATACACACACACATACACACACACACACTGTACACACACACACACACACGAAATAAAAAGAATAGGAATCTCACAGTGTTCGTGGGACTTACTTAAAGTCACACACATAGTCAAGTAACAGAGACTGGACTCAACCCAGGCCTCTCACCCTGAGTTCAATATCTTCCTTTCTTACCTTGAGACAACTGGGTTACCATTGACAGCAGAGTGGTTCTTCTGGAAATTCATATGAAAGCCGCCCAGAGTACATAGCTCTCAGGAAGAAGCTAGAGAAAAACTAAGAACAACTCTAAGACCCTGTGATCTCTATCTATAGAGTTACCTTAACTCTGTTTTCCAATGCTACAACACAATGCCACAGACTGAATAGTTTATAAGGTGAAGAATGGTTCTAAGGGCTGTGAAGTCCATGGGTATAACTATGGGCAGGATATAGTGATGGCATTTGATGACAGTCTTTGTGCTGTTCTATAACTTGGCAGAAATTAATGAAACGACAAGAGCACATGTTTCAAAAGAGCAAAAACAAAAAACATACTGGACAGATTAGTTTAGTCCTGCAAAAAATAAAATAAAATAAATCCATCCCTTGAAGGTTCTGCTTTCATGACCTAGTCACCACTTGGTAGATAGGTCCCACATCCCCAAGCTATCACTTCAAGGATCAAGTTTCCAACATCTGAATCTATATTACAGTAGATTGAAACCTAACCACTTTCTATCTTAAGGTTCTGCACTTGCAACTTCTCTGCTTGAGGTTAGGCATCTGTGTATCTTGTTTTCCCTCTGTTCAATAACCATTTTCCCTCATTCTGCCACATTACCCAATTTTCTTCATAACACTTACTACCACATGACATTAAATACTTGTGTGCATTCTTCTGAAGAGCAGGAACTCACGTAACCCAGACTGACCTCAAACCTGCAATCCTTCTACCTCGGTCTCTGAAGTATAGCAATAACAGGTATGTTCCCATACATTTTTATTATTTGTTATTGCCTATTTTCTACTTTGCCATTAAAATAAACTCCATAAAGGACTCTATTATTATATCCTCTAGGACAGTTTCTCCTATATGGTAGACATTCAAAACAAGACAAGACACTTGGTTAACCTCCAGGCAAGATGTGCCCACTTGTGTTGTAGTGGCACTTCTGTTCTAGGTGTAACAAACAACTTCTCACCTAGATTTGAGACTTGCTCCATAGGAGGGAAGCCATTCCTGGTACTGTAAACCTGGTCAAAAAACCCTCACTGGGAGGAAATCATAGACCCTAGTGGGGGGAGTTGGATATTATGGTTTAGCTAAGTTTTTCACAGCAGCAAACTGTCTTATAAATATTTATATCATACATAGACAAATGTTTCTCTTTTCCTTAATCAGAGAAGTGTCTTTTCCCAATGAATGTTGGTGAATGAAGAGACTCATGTATGCAAAGTGCTGGGAACAAATGACGCATGTTCAGCCCTAAACAAGACATTTATACCATACCCTTAAGACTCAGAGAACATTGTGAAAGAGGGACTAGAAAGAGGGTAAAGGCCAGAAGATCAAGAGAAGGGATGCAAAATGCCGTCATCTGGGTAAGACATAGCCATTGCAATAATAAAGTCACAATAGCTGCAGATGTTAGTACTGGGGCTGCACAAGACTAGGGCCATCAACAAAAGTCAAACATAGATAAAGGTGTACTTCATAGGTCCCTGCCCTTTACTGCAGGACTGTGTGCTACTAGTAAACTTATTGAGAGGGTTAGTAATTGCCTTCAGTTGTGTGCCCACTGGTGATCCCACCAAGCTCAAATAGATAAAATCTAATTGTTCATGTATATGGTCTGGGTTAAACTAAATGAATTACAAAACAAAACCAAAAGTCACATTTCTTGTTAAGGGACTGGTAAGTGGGATTGGAAGGAAATAAGAAAGAGTATAGGGAAAAAGTGATCAGTATACATTGTATACATGCATGAAATGGTCAAAGAATAAAATTAGTCAATAAAAACATTTTTTAAAAAACACTAGTAGAATAAGTGAATGTCATATGCTTACTTTAAATTACCAGAATTTTGAGTGTCTACTCAAGGAGATATTTGTGAGTTTGGAAATGGTGACATCTAATACTCAATCTCACATGTAACTTATACTGTATGTATCATAACTCTCTCTCTCCTTCTGTCTGTCTCTGTCTCTGTCTCTCTCTTTTCATTTCTCTAACTTTTCAGTGAACCGTGTCTGCACACATTATTGTAGGAATGCCTTGAAGGCAATAAATTACTCTACTTTGGGAGTGGCAAGTGCCCTGGGAAAGCATCCACAGCTAGAATTCATGAGAGCCAAGAAACCTGCTAGAAATAGCACTGCCCATTTATAGAGAAAGGGGATCTCCCTTGACAGTCTTAGAAAATGTAAAAATTAGAGCTCCTATAGAATGTGAGCATGAGGCTCATGTCATTTTATAGAATTAGAAGAATGGGTGACCCTACAGCTCTGAGGAAACCTCTAAACAAGACAGGATGAAAGTCGTATTGCCTTATTCTGAAGATGTATTTTCAGAAGTATGGAGAACTGTGTCACAGTTTGGCAGATCTGGAGGCAGAGGTGAGCAGGTCAGCATTGAGATGATAATCTGCTGCTTTCTAAGTGAACCATAAGGAAGAAGATGCCTGCTTAGCTGCCTATGTGGTCAAGTCTGGTGGGTTTCTAGGTGAACCCTAAAGGTCCCTGGCTCTACCAAAGGCTGGGTCACTTCTCAGCTGGGCTCACTGCTGAGTACAAATACACTAAATGATGTGTTCTACCTCCCATTTTCTAGGTCATTGTAACCTATCACATTAGGTAAGAAAAAGAGCCCCTAAAGTAGAACTTCTACCCAGGCACATTTAAATATATTTAGTTTAACACATGGCCTCTGCATTTCTTTTGATAAGGACCAGAGAATGTCTAAGCCTTAGCCCATGAAGGCGAGCATCTACTTTGGTTTTGAGGGGGCCAGGCTTCCCCTTCCATTTCTCTTCTGAAAGTGTCTCAAAATAAACACTCTTCTGATGATGTCCACAGGAGAGCTCTTTCCTGTTAAGCTGTGGTAAGTCAAAACCTACTTCAGAGAACACAAAGCCACCAGTCTGAGGGGCTTAGAAAAGAATGGGTGTTGTGTGCTGTTAGATGTTAGAAAAGAAAACCTCAAACTATTGAACTAGAAGTGACTTTTCTGTGTAGGTCTGTGTTGAACTTTGTGTTTAATCATCTTTCGTTAAGAAACAAGGGGGGATCCAATTTTCAATGAATACATTCAGAATTGTTTGGGTTTTAACATTACTTGTGTTTTAAATTAAAGAAAAACAACTTAAAGTTTCTAAAGGTATTGTCGGCATCTCTTCACTGGGATTAATACTATGCTTGATCTTCACCAAAAGGCCAAGAATCAGAACACTTAAAGTACAGTGAGCTCTTAGTATAACCCAAAGGCACCTTTGAGAGATGGATATAAGAAGAAATGACTGTAAATATGACTGGAAAGACAAATCTACAAACAAAAGACCAAATACCTCCCAGACATTCTCCATGAAGGAACCAACCCATCCAAAACAGATGTGAGACAGAAGAGCCTGAAGATGAAAAATTGATACTTTCCAACCTGAGACTTTGGTTTTTGTCCCTGGTTTATTTAGGAAGCATTTGTTGATTCTTTTAAATGACAGATCAGGCTCTGTTGACTTGGCACTTTCCCTTCTCCCTCCCCTATTTAATTCCTAGAAATGTCGGATACCTAATAATATCTTTCTTGTATCTAGTGTTAGGCATTGGGGTGTGTTTCAGTTTTCAACTTTTCCTCCTAACTGTGGCTTCAAACCCCCATTGAATCATCTATACAAAGTTCTACTAAACATACACAGGCTCTACTAAAGAGCTTGCACTAATATTACACACATACCAACTCTTTCCTGCACATCAGAAGGTAAGTGATCTATCAGACTGCAAAGTGAGCTAAGAACAAAAACAACAAAAATCAACTCCAGGCTTTTTACTGCAAAGCATGTGCCCTTCCCACTTTGCCATGGTTCTGGCCCCAAAAAAGAGTTGCCATCAAATATGTGGATATTTGGGTCACCTTAACAATGGCCATAATGTTGGTAAACAAAACTCAGGGTAATGCGAGGTCCAGAGGAAAGCAACTAGAGAGAAAAAAAGAGAAACGGACAAAGATGGGAGAATTTGTCACACAGCTCTACTCACCATTGCAAATTCTTCTCAGAATGCTCCAAAGTCATTGTGAATGAGGAAGCCGTGGAGAAAAGAAACAATAAGCACAGCTCACTGACTTCCAGACACTATATCCTTAACGCTTTTCTATATACTACAATATAATTTTTATTTGTCTTTTCTTCATTAAGATGCACAAAATATATAAATACTGGTTGTAGTAAAGGAAATACAGCCTTAGTAGCTAATAATAAAAGATTTTTGAAGACTATTAGAGTTTATTGCCAGGAAACATTCAGATATCTACTACCATCAAGTGTAATACATATTTCTAATATGTACTTCATAATGTTCACATTCTATTTATATGACTCACTAGAATCTGTCTGTCTTCCCTCTCATACATACAAACACACAGACACCATTGCACTGGAGGTACACATGCTGTGTAGAGGGTGATTTGTGCCACAAACATCCCTCTTAGTTCCCTGTTAGCATCAAAGGCTGGCTCAGAAAACACTGGTTAAAAGTAAAGATGCTGCCAATAGGACATTGGCCTCTTTCAGTCTCTAGCTTATCAGTCAAACCTGGCCCCCTTTCCCATCCCTTGTATATTCAGATCACAACTGTGTGTCTAAAAGACGGTCTCCTCTGAGGTAGCAAGTAGACCCACCCTGAAAGGCGAGTTTAACAGTGTCCTCTTCAATGGCTAAAATGCTCTTGGCCTTTTAACATCAGACAGTTCCATCTCTGTGCCTCTGCATCACCACATGGCAGCCCAAAGCTTTATGTTCCTCAGTCACAGTCCTCCTTCCATCTGGCTCATGATGGAGGCATGAAGGACCACTCCATGGACCTCTGGGAAATGAAGGATAGCTGACCTGTTGACCCTTGTGATCATGAGGTCTTTGTGGCTCATTTTGTCTCAATTAACCTCAATTGGTCTTAAGAAGACTCTCACTCAAGGCAATATTCCCAGTGTCCATAATAAGGAATAATCATAATTCTAAAGTGCTTTTTCTCTTAAAGCTTATATAGGCCAAAAAAGGTCTTAGATTCCTCAAAACTAATCAGAGAGAGTTGAGATACGTTGACATATAAATGGTCAGCCCTCGTAAGATTGAATACTGCTCCCAGATAGCTGCTGTGGGCCCACATCTGGCCAGTAGTGCAGTAGTTCAACTTCTTCTCCTCCATTAGCACCAGTTCCCCTGGATACTTAAAGTTCCTCATGAAGACCTTGTGGTTTAGAGGCTGATTGTTGCAAGAATGACCCCGGAAGTATACTTTGGAATATACAAAGTACAACCCAGTGTCATTGATCACAAGGCCACCTTTCTTATACTTCACTCCAGAGATCAGAGCAGTTCCGTATGTGTCTTCCCATTCCAAAAGGACGGACCTGGAGTTGGGGTTGCCTGTAATAAACCAGAGGGGAACTTTCAGCCAGAAAGTCTCACACATCTCACAAGCTAAGCTTTCAAGGCAAAACTGTGGGCCCTTTCTTAACAAAAGCTCAGAATGTGGCAGCTGATGTAAAACTGGCTGAGGAGTCAAAGCATGGTCCATCACTGAGTTTCTTCAGTACCTTTGTCAAACTGCCCACCCCAATGTAATCATCCATGTGATTGGGACGAATTTAGTTTGGGTCTCTGATCAATCTCAGGGAAGATTGTTAGGATAATTTCAGCTCTCTGGAATAAACATTTTATGATCTAAACTAGTGCCAACACTGCTAGGCTTGAGGAATCCATCCATAAAGGAAAGGATCTCCAGAGTTCCACATCTGGACAAAGTCTCATGATTAAGTGGTCCACTTCCTTGTTTAGTTTGGACGCCTTGGCCTCTTATTTTGGGTTAATCCCCTTTCCTTTTATTCACACAGCATTATGTACCTATACACAAGTACTCAATAAGTGTTTGTGGACCCAGATGAATTTTTCTAGTCTCCAAGTAATTACAGGAGCCATAGTATAACTCTTCTTGTGATATTTACCTGCATTTTTAATGTTTATTTTTCTAATGGAGGTGCCCATAGTATATTGTACTGAACCACTTCTTCATTTTATAATATAGGCTGAAAGCCCACAAATGCCAAGACTATATCCTCTTACTCAAAATAGTGCATCAGTCACCATCTGGTGCTCCTCTTGGACTTATTCACAAGTCCCCTTGTGGGCTTTGGAATGGTTGAAAAGAGTGCACATTTTATGGGCAAGATCAAGTCATACACAACTTCATAGCATTAGGATTGTCAGATTAGGGTCATGAGATCCCAGAGACATGAATGATCTTGAGTGGTCATACACAACTTCATAGCATTAGGATTGTCAGATTAGGGTCATGAGATCCCAGAGACATGAATGATCTTGAGTGGTAAACACAACTGTCAATAATACTTTCCAAAAGTCTACATGGAAATTGAGCAGTGGGTCCACATTTTTCTGAAGACTTTCTGTCCCCACCCAGTCCTTCCAGACACAAACCTGTTAAATGGGCCACACACCTCGGCTCTTTTTTTTCAGAGGGTGAACTGGGGTTCTCTGCATCATAGAGAGATAAAAGAGATGTGAAAATTATTATGATAGATGTCAACTACTACCTTGATGGGACTCTAAATTCCACCATTTAAATACAAGATTTTCAGAGCATAGGGAGAAATATTCTAGTACACACTCATCAAGAAAATCTAAACTGTTGGACTAATGGGAGTCTATTTCATAGAGAAAGATAGATACACACACACACACA